ACAGACAACTAAACAAAATTAGGAATACAATGCATGAACAAAATGAGAAGCTCAACAAAGAAATGGAAACCATCAAAAAACCAAACAGTAATCCTAGAGATGAAAAATAGAGTAACTGAACTGAAAAATTCAATAAAGAATTTCAAAAGTAGACTTGACCATACAGAAGAAAGAATCATTGACCTGGAGGATAAGACATTGGAATTTACCTACTTAGAGGAACAAAAAGAAAAAAAGACTGAAAAACAGGAAAATGTATGGGAATTATAGGGTAAAAGGAAAAAAAAAATTTGCATTATGGAAATTCCAGGAGAAGAGAAAGAGAAAAGGACAGAAAGTACATTTGAAACAATAATGGCTGAGAACTTCCTCAACCTAGGGAGAGAAATGTACTTCCATATCCACAAGGCCCAAGAGATCTGAAGTAGCTTGAATCCAAATAGGGCTACAGAGAGATACATTATAATTAAGTTTCCAAAAGTCAAAAACAAAGAAAATTTTAAGAGCAGCAAGAGAAAAGAGAGAAGTTATATACAAGGGAGCCCCTTTAAGACTATCAGTGGATTTCTCAGCAGAAACTTTTCAGGCCAGTTGAGAAGGGGATGACATATTTAAAATATTGGAAAAAAATAACTGTCAACCAAGAATTCTATACTTGGCAAAACTCTCCTTCATAAGTGAAGATGAAGACTTTCCCAAACAAAAGCTGAGGGAGTTCATTACTGCTAGACCTGCCTTACAAGGAATACTGAAGGAGGTCTTTGAGTGGAGTAAAAGAATGCAAATGACCATCATAAAACATAAAGAGGTAGTGTGAATCTCACTGGTAGTAGTGTATACGTGGACATAGTTAGATCCTGCAATATGGTATAAGGGTACCTAATTCACTTGCCAACCTAATTTTAAAGTTAAAAAACAAAACAACTGTAGTAAAAATAATCATAACTACAATAAACTGTTAATAATTATAAAAAACTTAATAAAACATAATAAAAATTATAACCATAATAACCTAAAATAGGAGGGGGAGAAGTAAAAGTGTAAAATCTCTGAGTTCTATTGAAGTCAAGTTGTTACCAGTTAAAATATCTTTAACTTGTAACATCCTATATTAATGTAGCCTCATGGTAACCACAAGGAAAAATCTTACAGTAATTACACAAAAGAACATGATAAAGAAGTCAAAGCATACTGATAACAAAAGACATCAAAACACACAAAAAGCAGCAGGATAAAAATCAGGGAAGAACAGATCTACAAAACAACCAGAAAATAATTAACAAAATGGTAAATGTAAGTCCTTACCTATCAGTCATTAATTTAAATGTAAACAGATTATATTACCCAATTAAAATACACAGAATAGCTGGATGGATCACAAAACAAGATCCATCAATATGCTACCTACAAGACATTCATTTTAGACTAAGATTGGGTGGAAAAAGACATTTATAACTAAAGAAAGAGCAGCAGTAGCTACACTTACATCAGACAAAATAAATCTTAAACTAAAAATAGTACAAAGAGACAAAACAGGTCATTATATAATGATAAAAGGGTCAATACATCAAGAAGATTGAACAATTCTAAGTATTTATGCACTCAGCATTGGACACCTAAATATATAAAGCAAAAACTAACAGAGAAAAGGAGAAATGAACAGTAATGTAATAGTAGTTGGGGATTTTAATAACTCACTCTCAACAATGGATAGATCATGCAGACAGGGAATCAGTAAAGAATCAGTATATTTGAGCAATACTATAGCCCAAATGGACTAACAGGAGTATACAGAACATTCTACCAGCAACTGCAAAATGTACATTCTTCTTAAGGGTACATATCTGACGAGGGAGCCAGGAACACTCAAAAACAGTGTTTTCAATAAACAGTGCTGCGATAATTGGATATGTACATATGAAAGAGTAAAACTGAACCCATATTTTAACACCATTCATAAAAATTAACTCAAAATAGATTAAAGGCTTAAATATGAGACCTGAAACCATGCAATTCCAGAAGAATACAGGGGAAAAGTTCCTTGATGTGAGTCTTGATAATGGTTTTTTGGATATGACACCTAAAGCATAAGCAACAAAAGCAAGAATATACAAGTGGGGGCTATATATGCCTTAAAGAGATCATGCTGACTGAAATAAGTCAGACAGGAAAAGACAGTTAGTGTATGATCTCACAAAAAAACAAAAAAATCCAAACTCAAAGAAAAAGAGATCAGACTTCTGGTTACCAGATGTGGAGGGTCAGGAGAGGAGACACAGGAAGGAGGTTATCAAAAGATAGAAACTTCCAGTTATAAGAAAAATAAGTCCTAGGGATGTATTTTACAACATGATGACTGTATCTAATATTGCTTTATGATATATATATAAGAAAGTTGTTAGCAGAATAAATCCTATGAGTTCTCATCACAAGGAAAAAAACTTTTTTACTTTTTATTAGATCTATATGAAAAGATGAATGTTAGCTGAATCTGTTGTGCTGAAAGTTCACAATAAGTGCAAATAAAACCATCATGCTGTATCTCTTAAACTTACACAGTGATGTATGTCAAGTATTTCTCAATAAAACCGGAAAAAATTCCCAAAAAAAGTGAGAGAAATTGGAAAAAAAACTTCAGTATAGCCTTTTGGTTTAAGTCACTTCTATTTTCCTCAAAACACTAATTTTAACTGTAAGAAATAGTCACAATAATAAACCTCATTATGTTCTTTTCAAAAGAAATAATATTTTGCCAAATCTTAAGAGCAGAAAAGATTCTATAGTGTCTTGGTGTTCAGTACAATATTAGAAGGGAGATCTTTTTGTCAGAGATCTCTCCTGCTGTTATAGTATCCATCTTTCAACCCTCATTTTCTCTTTCCCTCTCATCTTAATAATTCACTTACTCCCTAGGATGTATCTTGCTGTTTGTCCATTTCCTTAAACTTATTGCATCTGTCTCTGAAGAAATGAGGCAAATATTCTTTACTCCAAGTGTTAAAATTCAGCCTTTTGGGCAGTAGATATGGAAGGCACAGCTTGGGAGCGGTGAGAGAGGAAATACGGCGGTCAAAAGACATTCCTACTACTACTTTTCTCAGATCTTTCTCCAGGTGCCATGTTCTGGATTTCCCACATGATAGCTGTAACTTTTCTTCTCCTTTTTTTTATACTCATTTGTCATGAAAGGAATGTGGTGATATCTCCAGCAATCTTTATGCTCTTGTCACGCTCTTCCTAACACAGGGCCTTGGCACAGACTATTCCCTCTCTCTGGAACACTGTTCCCTTCTGTTTTGCCTAGTTGATTACCCATTTGCCTTTCAGATTGAAGCTCCAGCTTTACCTTCTCAGATAAGTCTTCACTTGACCAGTCAAATCCCCTTCGTATAGGTTCTCATAACACATGTGCCTTTTGTTCGTGCCCCTTGTCATGGTAATACCTATGTGCAGTTTGATTAATGGAAGCTCATCATGGCACTTTGGCTATTTTTGCTCACCACTGTGTTTCCAATTCTTGTACATAGTATGGTCTCAATAAATATTTATAGAATAAGTGAGGGAATAGCCTGTGTTCCTTGAATTACACTTAAGAATTTCTGACTTAGATGTGCTGCATCCAGGAGCAGCCTGCTTCGCGTTTGCCCTGGCATGGTGTGTTGGCAAGTAGGACGATGTGACCTCACAGTCTGTAATGATACCATTAAAGGCTGCTGAAAACTGAAACATTATATTGTTCTCTTATTTCTGGTGGTATTTTTTGTCGACTGTATCGCATAGCTGTGATATCACCATCCCTGTTGATGTGTATTGTTCATAATGTAATGCACAGTTGTTGATGTAATATAGCCAGAAAGTTTCTATGAAGAAGAATGTTAAGCTTTTAACATACTGAATGATTACCACAGTGAATGCAGTGTGAAAAAAAAAAGGTAACAGATACTCAGAAACACTTTGAAGTATAATTAGTCCTTCAGGGTTCTGAGACCATGTCAGTATTTGGCAAGAAAGGATTAATGGCACAGAATCTGTGGGCTTAAGAAGTGGACATTGATGGTATATTCACTGTCTTTGGTATAGTATTTTGGAATCTCATCGTCACAAAGAAATGTCAGAAATGCTCTTTGTCTTCAAGAAGCTCGTATTCTAGATAGAAAATTGTCCATACAGATAAAGCACCTCTGGATTTCTGACAGTATGGTAAAATACACAGACATGTGGAGCATTCTTTTGTAGCCTTATGGTAAGGAAAAGACCATGATCCCTGTGATCTGCAAGGCCCCACACAATCTGCATACCAACCTCTTCTGCTGACTTCTCTGACTTCTGCTGCTCTTTCCCTCTTTTTCCCAACACTGGGTGCCTCCCTGTTTCTATCTCAGGGCTTTTGTCCTTGCTGGTCCCCACCAGCATGTTGTTCCCCCAGCCAAGGGTCAGCTTCCTCATATCCTTTAGAACTTGACGCTGTCACTGTCTCAGTGAGACCTACTTTGGCCACTCAGTTTAAAGCTGTAACATCAACCAATCTCACTGCCCACAATCTCTCTCCCTTTATTTTTCTCCAGTGCATTTATACCATCTAATTACACTGTATGTTTTACTTATTTTTCATGTTTTTTGCTACTTCCCTCACTAGAATGTAAGCTCCCTGAGACCAGAGACTTTTGTCTTGTTTTCTCACTGCTACGTCTCCAGTGAATAGAACAGATCTTGATACACAGTAGGAGTTCAATACATATTTGTTGAAAAAAGGAATGAAAGCACTGCATAGAAACAAAAGGGAAAGTATACTGAAGACCCTAACCCCACCATTTATTTTCTGGGTAATCCCAGACACAACAGTAAACCTCAGTGAACCTCCCCTATAATATGAAGAATATCCCATTACTGTCTCCAATATTACCATATCTCATTGCTGCCTAGAATTGTTCTTGTATATATGTTCTGCCTCTTCCTGAACTGTGCACGTGGCACTAGGAATGTCTTCCATTCTTCTACAGGAGGCCCTGTGGGACGATACACAGCAGATACTTGGTAAGTGATACCCTTTGTTGTTACCAGAAAGGCTTTCTGGAGGAGTAGGTTTTGAGTATATAGAGATTTGAAGGGGACATTAGCGGAATCTACAGAAGCAAAGTAGTTGTGTGTGGGGATTGATTGAGATGATGAATATTAAGTGTAAGTACAGAGCTTGCCTATGGCAGAGACTTGTTCTCAGTGGTGGAATGTCTCCTGCTATTACTGTGCTTAAGCATAGGGCCTGCTCTGCAAGAAAGAAATAAGAGCTAGGAATCACTGAGCCATGTGAAAGAGAGCAAGATGGAAAACCAAGGCAGTCTTGGGAGGCCATGAAATGACCAAATTTTGGGTGGAAAAGAGTCTTTCTTCATGTTTGTGTGGATGTTTGGAATTGTGAAAGTCAAGTCACAAGGACTGAGAGGTGGTGTGAGGTAGCCTTTCTTTGTCTTGATCCAGCTGTTGGTTGCATAAGTTAACTCATGAAGCTGTACACTTCACAGCATGTGAGTTATAATTCATCAAGCTGTGTACTTTACCATACATAAGGTACACTTCAGTTGAAAAGGTAGCATTGTGTCTGTTTCTGTGTGTGTACATGTGCATGTATGTGTGCCCGTGCATGTGCGTGTCTGTGCGTGTGTGAGTGTAGTCCCAAGGAAACCTGCTTAGTGATGATGATAGGGACGGCTCTGCCAGCACGTAAGAGGGGAGGGATTCACGTAAGAAACCTATCAGTGATTAGTGGCCTAGACAAAAGCTTGGACTTGCGGGCCCAGAAAGTATATGGTGCTACTGCAAGGAGGGAAAAGATGCTTGTTTGGCTTTAGTTGAAGCCAGGGAGGCTCAAGAGAGTTTTGTGGGGATCATTCAGTGTGGAGTCCCCATGTGGCAAACTGCAAAGCAGCTTCATATAAGAGAGTCTCTTTGAAGTCAAAAGAAGAATTGATAGGGCTGCAGACCCTGCACATTTCTGCTCTGAGTCCATGATGAGACCTGTGAAATCTCCTTGTGAAAGTCAGAGATATTTTTTAATACCACAGCGGAGTGTGGGAAAACTCTAGAAATTCTGGCCTTCAAAAGCAAAATACTTAGTACCAAATATCTGAAAGGAAACTTCATGAACGTTTCGAGGCCGATCATCTTGCATGGAATCATAGAATGGCAGAACTGCAAAGGATCTCAGAAGCCATCTGACTCAATAGGCTCACTGTCTGGAACCTAACGCTCAGTAAGGTGTGGTGTGAGTGACACTGGTTCCTGCAAGTGTCTCTGAAGAGAACCTAGATCTACATAGTGACTTGCTTCCTTTCCGCCTGCCCTCCCTCCCTCCTTTGTCTCTCCCTCTCTCCTTTCTTACCTCCCTCCTTTCATCTCCCTTCTTTCTTTCCTCTCTTCCTCCTTCCTTTCTTTTTCAGATTAAGGAGGCATATTTAGCAATCCCTTTAACAAGATGAATAATTACTTTTTAGATATTAAGAAATCATAGTTATTTTAGTTCACTATAGTCAACAAATCGTAATTGGAATCAAGTTGTTTAATATATTTAAATTTATTCTAAGTCTTTTATCTAATTGGAACTGTGAAGTAAACTAGCTTATTTGTTTTCTGTGTAGGCACTTTCTTTAAAATATGCAATAAGATTGTTTGAGGGTCAATAGTACCTTCACAAAAGGAAAACAGGAATATTAATATTATAATCCTAGGTAAGTTGTTCAAACAAACATAACAGCACACTTTAAAATCCTTAATTTATACTAGGTTCTTAGAAAAACTACTCAGGCTCATAGCTCGGTTCTTCCAAAACTGAAACAAAAAGAAATGACATGAAAATATTGAGAGAAAAGTCGGCAACAAAATTTTCAAACTTAAGCTAGTCATCATCAATTAAACAACCAAGTGAGTGAGTCAGTTTTGAGTTGGATCTTAGAACATTTTCAGTGAAAAGGAGCAAATTCATTTTCATCTCCTAGGTATGTCCGAGGTGCAGTTGAAATCCTTAAATATTATTTTTGAATCAGGCATTGTGACTAAAGTTAAATAGATCATCATGTACTACTATATTGAGGCTTATCATACTTGTCCTTTTATTTCAGGTATCAAAATGTAAAAAATAGCTATTACGCCTTTTGGTGAAATAGAATATATTAAGTAAAGGAATTAAGACATGTTTCTCTCTTTGTACGTGCGACTGGGGAAAGCACTCGAGAACACTGTCACCTTAGCACACTTGAAGCTCTGCCCCTAAGTGGACTTGGCGTTCTGTTCACACACATGAATCTTTTCTGACCTCTAAGCCAGGAATGAAAAGGAAAATGGGAATGGGGAGATGGGTTTTTCCTTTGATCCATTCTCTGATCCTAAAGGCAACTGGGAATATGGAAATGCATTTTCTCTTTGATGCAGGTTTTGATCAGCATATTTATAAGCAGCAGAGGGAGTTCTTGCGGAGAAATAGAAATGGGCAAAATCTCCCACCCTGGCGTTCTTAGGTTTCAGTGTATCTGACATGCTTACAGAAAATAGAGAGGAACTCAGCTTTCATGGTGGGGTTCAATCAGTCAACAAGTATTTATCGAGCGTCCACAGGATGCATAACTTTGAACCACACCCCAGGTAGAAACTATAACCTCTCACAACTCAGCTCTGTGGGTAGGAGGTTTAAGTATGGCTGAGAGCTTCATACTGACAAACATAGCCCTATTTATCCTTAATCCAGAAACTGGCATTAAATCTGATACCAAGCCGCTGTTGCTGGAGTCGCATTCACAGGGTTGGTATGGAAATTAATCCATATCCTGGGAAGCCTACATCTGTGCCATCTCCTGGTCCTGGTGTGCGTATTATATTATTGTGTTAGAGTTCTTCAGGTCCCAAAACAGAATGGAAATTTCACTCTATTAGGATCTTGGTTGTACCCTAGAAGCTCCAGGTACGTCAGTGACATAATAGACTTCTGGTTGAATTTAGTGTCTCCACCAGCTCCTTCTTCTCTTCCTTTTCCTTTACTCATTTCTGTTGCCACCTTCACTTTCCCATCTTTGCCATTGCAGCTATTAACTCTCATACCAAGTTAGGTCAGGAATCCTCTGGGAGCCCTCTGGCCATGATGTCAGGGTCTGTTTAATTCTGGAACTTCATTCTCTCTTCCTCATTCTCACAGTGTGAAAATCCAACCAAAGGGTGGTGGGATATGGAGTGATGGTTCCCACACCTCAGCAATGATCTAAATGATCAAGGGATCTTTCTATGAAAATAAGAGTCCTTGGGCCCCATCTCAGGAAATTCTGACTTCAGCAGGTCTAGATAATTCTGATGAAGGACCAGATTTGGGAAACACTGCTTTCCTGGAAAGCCTGCTGCTCAGAGTGTGGTCTTCAGACCAGCAGCAATGGCCTCACCTGGGATCTGGTTAGAGATGCAGGGTCTCAGGCCTCACTCCAGACCTATTACATCAGTTGGAAATGACATTTTAATGAGTTCTCCATGTATAAGCATATGAAAGTTTGAGAAGTTCTTCTGTGAAGAACTCTGACTCAGAAGCAGAAAATCCGGATTGCAGTCTCAAAATTGCTGTTAGTAAAATGTGACCTAGGACATGTGCTTTAAACTTCTTCTACTAATAAAGAGAGACAGAGAGAGGAAGAGAGTTGGTTTAAATGATGTCTTATTTTATAGGATTCTAATTCATTTTAAAGAGATCTTTTAGAGACAAAGGTGCATAGAAAATTGAGAGAAATGAATGCCAGGTTGTGTATGTGACTGGATATGGTATGTTCAGTATGTGAGTGTATTACGTGTGAGGTGTGTATGTGTGTATGTAGTAGGTGTTTATATGTCGTGTGTGTGTGGTATGTGTATTTTTGTGCACAGTGATGGAAAAGCAATAATTCAATTCTCCATTGTATTAGTTTGATTGAGCTGCTATAACAAAGTACCACAAAGTGGGTGGCTTAAACAACAGAAATGTACTGCCTCACAGATCCCAGCCAGAAGTCCAAATCAAGGTGCGGGCAGGGCTGGTGCCCTCTGAGGCTGTGAGGGAAGAAGGTGTGCCAGGCCTCTCTCCTTGTTTCTTGTAGCTTGTCGACGGGTGCTAGCATAGCTCCTGTCTTCACAGGGCCCTCCTTCTGTGCATGTCTGTCTCCAAATTTGCCCTTTTTATAAAAACACCAGTCATGCTAATTGAGGGCCCACACTAATGACTTCAAACAACTTGATTACTTCTGGAAAGACCTTGTCTCTAAAAAAGATCATATTATGAGGTACTGGGGATTAGGACTTCAACATGTCAATTTTGGGGGAACACAATTCAACCCATAACAACCACAATAGTAGCAGACCGTAAATAAGAAGAAGGGACTGGGGTCCCTGATTACCCATCACTGTCATCCCCACATCTACCTGGGTTTATGTCAGAATGATTGTGGAGAAATGACTCCTGAGAATTCTTGTTCCCTGGCCTTGAGGTCTAACAGCCCAAGCTGATTATGCTCAGCTTCATTCAAAACACACAAACCCTTCCATTTTGCCAACTTTCATTTCTTGACCATAATTGAATGGAGGACCAAGACAAATGATCTTTGATCAACTACTGGCAAGGTTTATTTCCACTAAAAATCAAACCCACCATAATTTGTTTCTAATGGCCTAGCTGATCTCTGATCAAGACCTACAAATCTACCAGACCCTAAGTCCTCATGGCTTCAGGAAGACAAAAATGTCAGCAGTTTTCTTCGGTAGGCACTCTGCCAGTGTCTCTCAGGTCCTGGTTTTATTATTGCTGTATCTGTGAGGTGTGCTGTGTGCATAATCTGAGAAAGGCAGCTACATGCTGGAACACCTTGATTTACATCAAAATCCTGGAGGGACTAACATCCCGAAATAGGTGTGGGCTCAGAGAAAAGAGTGAAATAAGGCTTAGAGTGAGAAATGGCTTGGATTTGAGCACCTTTAGTACTCACAAAACCTGAGGGGACATAAAGGAACCATACTGCCAGGTAGGAGAATCCTGCATC